ACTACAGTAAAATGGTGTTAAAGGGCAGATGTAGGGTCTCACACCTTTAATCTCAGGACTCAGATGACAGAAGGAGCCAGAGTTCTAGGACAGTCTGGTCTACAGGGTGAGTTAGTTCCATGACAACTACAGCTATGTAGAGAGACCCTGTCTCAAACAAACTGACAAACAAAAAAGAAAAAAGAAAAAGAAGGAAGGAAAGAAGGGAGGGAGGAAGGGAGGGAGGGAGGGAGGGAGGGAGGAAGGAAGGGAGGACAAACAAGTTAAAGCTAAATTTCCAAAATAGTGGTCAGAGACTTGCAGCATCACACCATTTCGAGTGTCTGGCAAGCAATGAGCTAACTTTCTGCAGTTTCACGCCTTGAAATGCAGCTTCCCCCACTCTCCTAGTTTATTTTCTATTGCTGAAATAAAAATCTGACAAAAACCAACTTATGGGAGCAAAGGGCTTATTTCATTTTATACTAAAGAAAGAACTCAGAGCAGAAGCCATAGCAGAAGACTGCTTTGCTCAGCCACCTTTTATTTTTATTTTTTTTAACAGCAGAGGCCCATCTGCCTAGGGGATGGTACCAACTATAGTGGACTTGGCTCTCCACACACAAGCTCATAGACCAGTCAGTTGGAGCCAATTCCTTTATTGAAGTTCCCTCCTCTCAGGTGATGATTTATGTCAAGTTGATAAAAACTACCCACACACCCTGCCCTCAGAAACATTGAGGAAGGATACTAAAGCATCATATAGGTCTATAGGCCCCAGAATGAGCCATGTTCAAGGCTCTCCCTCTTTCACAGATTTTTCTACAATTCATAAACATTTGCTTATGGAAAAGGACCTATTGCCCTCCAATCATCCCTGAATATCTGGATATTTCTCTGTAAAGTTATGACACTTGTTGAAAGTTGAGACTAAATAAGCAATGACACCAAAATTTGAGTCCAATTCATCCCACACCTATATCCTCTGTCCTTAATACGCTGCACAGCCCAGACTTGCAAGAAGTACAGTGAAACCAACAGTGGCCACCTATGCACCTCCTATGAACTAGACTAGAAATACCTGTGCACTGTTTTGTTTTTAGGGATTCTTTAAAGATTTTTATGTGTATGCCTTTGTGAGTTCATACACACCCACATGTGTGCCAAAGCCCATGAAAGGCAGAGAGAGCATCAGATCCTTTGGAGCCACAATTCATTCATGTACTGGGAATCTAACCCAGGTCTTCTAATAGAGTAGTGAGCCGTCTCCCCATCTCTCCAGCTGCTTGCTTTTAGGCTTTTCAAACATGGTCTGAAAACTTTGAGCCACTGACCCTCCTGTCACCAGTCATCCCCCACCACTCTGGCTCTAATAAGCATTTTCAAATAAGACACAACTATGTGAACACTTCTCCAGCAAGAGAGTCTTTTCTGCATTTTACACAGAAACACAAAGCTAAGTTTTGTTAAGTTAGACTTTCAACCAATAATGTCCTGGATGGTCTCAGATACACACAGGTAAAGTCACATCAAACGAAAATAAAAGGGAAACACCTGAGAGGGAGACTGCATGAATCAGTCTCATCATTTCTGCTTCCTTGGGGGCAAAGCCCCCACCAAGGAGCCTGGGAGCCGTCGTACTTCGGCTCAGGAACTAGCCCCAGATGTGTTCAACAGTGAAGCCATTACTATTGATCCTAGACCTGCAGGAGAGCATGAGCCAAACTGTGCCTGTTATGTTTATGAAATAATACTCCCAAATGAAACAAATGAAAATTGATTCCCAAGAAACTACAGAGGATGAGAATGTAATAAATGAGCATTAGGAAGAGTCCACAACTCCTCCGCCGCAGCCTTCGTCTATCCGTTATTGGCACCGCAGCCTTCGTCTATCCGTCACTGGCACAGGATTTTATCTCAAAGCTTGTGCAAACATTTCTGTAAAAGCCCTTTCACATCTACTGGTTTTCCCCCAAAACTTTGATGCCCTGAAAAAAATCTAATTATTAGTGGTAACTTTAAAAGATCACAGTAATTTATTTTTGTCAAATGTGACTAAAGATTAATGGATACAATCAGGAATAATTTGGTAAAAACATATCAAACACAGAGAAAGCAAAATTTGTTGTTAAGTGAAGCATCAAATATAATAAAAGAGCAAATTCCATGAATGAACAGCAACAATGTGCAATTCATTAACCAAAGGCCCATGGTTATTTCACACTTCAGAGGGCCACTGATATAATCAGAAACCACAGTAAGAGTGTAAATACAGACTACCTTCAGCACCTCCTTGTATGTTTTAATTATCAACATTATGCCCGTCCCCTCTATAAATCATAAACCTACAAAAGACATTCAACTAGTAATTCTAAGATGACAATATGTCACAAAATACTAAATGTGTATCATTTTATTACATATCAACTAGAAAATTCATGGAAACTCTCATCATCATCATCAGTATCCCTACCCACAATACCTCAATCACTAGTGCCTTCTTCATTGCTCAAAGAAAAAATGCATAGTTCATATCTACTATTTCTCATAATGGTACTCAGTTCATAATGGTAGTATTTTAAAACAAAAAAAATAAGGCTGGAGGTATAGTTCAGTAGTGATTGATGTCCTCAGCAGGCCCAAGGCTCTGGATTTAGTATCCAGCACACACACAAAAACACAAAAATAGCCAGACATGCTGTCACATGCCTGAAACCCAAGCATTTGGGAAGAGGCTAAGTCAGGAAGATCTAAAGTTTGAGGCCAGGCTGGGTGACCCAGCCAGATATGTTTCATAAACAAGTATGTGGAAAGTGAGTCAGACACCCGTCATCAACCTTTGTACTCCGTATGTATGGCATACACACAAATGTACATGCATGCATAACACACACACACACACACACACACAAACACACACACACGGAAGCAAAGAAAGCTTCATCCACTCAGTGAAAGAAAATAAAGCAGCATTTTCCACTGACAAGAATGAATGCCAAACACAGGAAAAAACTTAATAGATTGCTTTTTGGAAAAAAAAGCACATTATAGAGGAGTAAGCATGATTGTCCTTGTCTGTGTTTTTAACTAAACACAGAAAATACACAAAAGAGAACAACAGGTGACACTTCTCCAAAGGGAGAACAGAAATAAGAAGCCTGCAGTTATGTTTCATCCCAACCCCCTCATGATCCTCTAACCACCGTGGCTTTCCTATGTCTCCATCTCTACTACCCTGTCCTCATTCAGCTCTAGACCCTTCTCTGTTTCTGTAGAATACTTCATTTTTTTTTCTATTTAGTATTGATAACTGGTCAGTTTTCAGTTCAAATTCTAGTCTACTACTTTCTCTGCTTCTTGACAATACTAGATGTGCACACAGACATTCCCATCCCCCCAGCCCTCCTGCCTCCCGAACATAAGTGGAACACCGCACACTCCTTCTATCTGTTCTAGACCAGTTCTAAGTGCAGGGTCCCTTTCTTCTGTTACACAACCTTTACCCCTGTTTCTGGCTCTGGGAAACGAACTTCATCTTCCTGTGAAAGCTAGGGCACATGTGTGATTCACAGCTCTTTCTGCATCTTCTCCAGGACAGTGCTGCAGCCTCTCTTCTTCCATGACCTGCATGTTAAACTTCCACCCTGTAGTGGTGGCCTTCTGGATCCCACTTCTCCACAGCACTTATCTCCGTGTCTCTGGAGAGTCTGTGCCCATCTCTGCTCCTTCCAAATTACCAACCCCTTCTTCATCTTCAGGATGCTAAGAGGCCTAACTCAGGAAAATCAAGGCCAGTCAGCTGACACACTTTCTGCCTCTCAACTCTTTCCTCACAATCTTTCCTGCTGGCCTCAGTGGCCCAAGTTACTAGCATGCACTTCCTCCAGTATATTCCATGCATTGCCCCCAGCATACTTCTTCAAACCAGGTCCCTATCTGAAAGCAATATTTGCCTATCAAGCTGTTACATGTGTCACTAGTTTTTTCTGCTCCTGATCACTCTGTCAATAAGGATATGCATACCTAGCCCAATAGTGGTGGCACATTTCTTTAATCTCAGCACTCGAGAGGCAGAGACAGGTGGATCTCTGTGAGTTCCAGGCCAGACTAGTCTACAAATTGAGTTCCAGGACTGCCACCAACTTTGTTACACAGAGAAACCTTGTCTCAAAAGGCCACAAAGAAAAAAAAATCCATGCCTACTTATACGTTTATAACACCTCTAACTGAAAGGTACATGCTCTCTGTAATGTGAACTGTGCACAAAAGCTCCTCAAAGGCTCTCTGATTAAAGATCCTCTGTGTATTCTCTCGTAGTGCCTCCTACATGACTACGAATGCAGTAAGTACTCCAAACATTTACAAAACTGAAATTAAAAGAATGATTATATATATTTTTATAAATCGAGAAAATAACTGAAGAGGAAAAAAAAAGGTTTCCTGACTGACTTCTGCTAGACAAAGGACTCTCTTTGGCACAGAAGATTGTCACCTATAATTCTTTGGAGTAGAGTAATTGCAAGCACGATATCTATCTTCCCACTCTCCTACCCAGGTTGGCCGGTAAGCTAAGCTCAAGTTGCCAGTGAGAACTGTAAACTGCTCTTCCTACCTGCTTTAGCATGTTTGAGTAAAAGTTCCTTCAAACTCTACAGCGTAATCGGAGGCATGACATTCTATGAAAACAGGAGTCAATGTGGTAACAAGAGTAGACTCTGGTATATCTATATGTTAAACAACAATCTATAAACAGAAAAATACTTAGGCTACATGGTGTACATGAATAAATTTTCAGGAATACAGAGTTTTATTTTCAAATAAATCTGTGGAAATTAAATATATATTTATAGTTACATTTAATTTTAAAACTGCTGTGAGTGCCTAGATTTTGAAAGTTACAAGAATGTTTCAGGAAGGATCGAAAATTAGAGAACACCAAGATAAATGTGATCTTATGAGTCAAACACTGTCAGCATTCACAAGGAGGAAAGACAATCAAAGTTTTGTTTTTCAGGACTCACCTCTGGTGACGGCATCTAGTGCACAGCCACATCCTGTGGCTCCTCCTCCAATAACAAGAATGTCAAATTCCGATGTGTTCCGCAAAGTCATGAGCTGAGCTTCTCTGGAAGGAGGCTCCGTGTTCACAGGCTCTGTGAAGCACTCCGCTGCTTCCACATAGGCCAAGCTCACCTGGGGGAAAGCAGACAGCTTGGGGTCACACTTCACGAATGTCAGTTTAGCAAAACATACAGTATACTGTGAAGAAATTCCTAATGGCGATGAGGATGACCAAGGCTAGCCCACAGTCCAAACGAAGTCATGGGATTTCTTTATGTGGGTCTCAGTTTTTTTACCCACAGTACACCTGGTTGCAAATGCAACTGGGTTTTATATATAGCAACATTTAATTATTTCTACCACTGTGTAACAATTCCCAACTGCTCTACATAAACCAATTTAAGGAAGCAGAAGGAAGTATTTTACCCAGTTGCATCAAACCATTCAGATAAGATTTTAAAATATAGAATATCATGTGAAAGGGGAAAATAACACTCTATAACCACTGTGCATTTTCTTAAAAAGCATATATTTCTTGTTCAATTCTCATGACAAAAATATGCTGTTGATTTTGATTTGTCAACTTAAATCAACATAATCAAAAATCTGCTTAGCATAAGTTAGCATCTTGTTTAGATAAATCTACTACTCTCAATGGAATACTTTTCAAAGATTTTAACAATAAATTGGCTTATCAAATATATAAATGTAATATAAAGATTCCCTATGTTTACAGTGCATTATTTAGCTTGTTGAAAGCTTAATAGTAATAATAAAGCTAGGCATAATTTCATTACATTTTTTGCTTCTTGCTTTTTTTTTTCCAAAGTGCTTGCCTAGTATTTGTTGTAGAAAGCATCAGATAAACCCACTACAAGTATTTGTAAGACTCTTTGATCTATACCCAGGACAACCACAAGCAAAAAGGATTGGGTCACTGTGCTGACCAACATCTACCGTTCCAACACTAAGGAAACTAAGGCAGGAAGGCATTCTAGGGTTAACAGTGAGTACAAGAGCTACCCTGCATTACATGGGAGATAGATAGACAGACAGACAGACAGACAGACAGACAGACAGACAGATCACAGTGCCACAACTAGAATTCAAGGTTAAACATACAGAATAATTGGCTGGGCACACGCCTTTAATCCCAGCACTTGAGAGGCAGAGACAGGTGGATTTCTGAGCCAGCCTGGTCTACAGAGTGAGTTCCAGGACAGCCAGGGCTACACAGAGAAACCCTGTCTTGAAGGAAAAAAAATGTAGAAAAATTTACCACAATGAAGAGGATTGATCTATGTGTCTCCATTAGATATCCAAAGACCACAAATCCTGCTTCTCTATTGCATCACAAGATCAACACAATGAAGACTCTTCTACTTCTTCTTCTTCTTCTTCTTCTTCTTCTTCTTCTTCTTCTTCTTCTTCTTCTTCTTCTTCTTCTTCAAGTCACCTATGAAGCTCTGAGTGATCAGGCCCAAGTTTGCTCAAGAAGAGGAGCTCTCGGGTCTACTGAGAATGGATGTTTCGTTGTATCTAACAGAAGGCTTGGAATTGTTTATGTAGCCCAGACTGACCCCAGTCTGACCTCAGAGATAAGATTTACAAGTGTTTACCAGCATACCCAGCTGTGGTCACTACTCTTACATGGGGATTATTCCCTCTCATTCAAGACAAGGAATACTTTTTTTTAAAATTCAGATAAAAATAAAACAAACTATTCTGTATAATTGAATTAATTACCATCAAGTCAGTTGTATTTCTATGATAATAAAGCCAAAAGTCTAGAGAAAGTTAGAAAAACCCTGTCTTGGTCCACAGAGACCCAGCTTGATTCTCCACACCCCCTGTCTTGGAAGTCTGACAAGCTGAGTTCAATCTCCAGGACCCATGTAGGAGAGGAGAACAGACTCCAGCAAACTGTCCTTTGACCTTCTCGCACAACATGGTATACTAACTTTTAAATTATTAATTCAAGTGCTAAAACTTTTTTAAAATCCAATTCTGCTTATGACTCCTCCTGTTTGTTTATTAATAACTGTTTCCTCATGTAACAAGCCAAATTAGATAAAACTCCTAGGTTCAGTGAAGGACTGGACTCTTCTAGCTATGGTCTTAGTCTTCCTCAGCTAATGAGAAGGAAAACAGAACAGATAGAGAGATAGTATGTGCATATGGATACATATAGTCTTGCATACATACATACATACATACATACATACATACATACATACATACATACATACCACATTTGTAGAAAAAGCAAATGCCGACATGGGGGTTGGGGGCAGACTATGACCACTGGGAGGGAGGGAGAACTGCACCATGACAGATGGGAAGGATTTGGACATGGGACTGACAAGTGACTAAACCGCCAGAGCGTTTTCACACATCAACAGAATTGCTGACATTTTCTGCCTTGTAAGTTTTCTAGAAATAGTTGAGAAATAAGTTTAAAGACCATATTATGGTATAGTTCATTAGAACTTGTTAATTCTAAAAACTCCCTCTTCAGGTCTAACCGTGAAGATTGAACTAGCTCATCTTCCCCTTTAGTGGGTGGGTGAGATTGGGAGGCGGGGGCACAGAATCATTCCCATTGACTACATAGTTTCTGTCTTATCTCAATATTAAAACCGCCTCTTTTACCTTAATACAGAGGATACATGCCTTTGATCTCAGCCTCAAGAGATAGGGAAGGAAGTTTAAAAAAAGCTCAAGGTAAGCCTGGAATACAGGGCAAGACCTTGTCCAAAACAACAATGATATTTCCATATATGGAATATAGAAATATAGGTTTCCGACATCTCATATGTTTCCAACATCTATCCTAAAAAACCCTTTAACGATTCATTAAGCCCCTGAATTACCCAGCTTTAGTATTTACCCACTAGGCTCACTGGTGTCTAGATTTTCACATGCACATCACACCATCACCTGCTTCATCTCAAGGCATGCACTCCCACACTACTGCTACGTCTGATCACATACAACTGACTGTCCACTCAGCTCAGCAACCAAGAAACTTTTCTCCTGCCTTTTTTGTACCTCTTTCTTTGTTTCCTTTGGACAGCCTTCAACTGCTGTGAGTGACTGACATGCCTCTTAGTGGCGTGTACTATTAACCTAAGCAAGATAATACCCCACTGGCATTCACAGAGGCCCATCTCTGAGGTATTCCAGTTCTCATCTACCTGAACACTGAGATGAACCACCATACCTGGTGAGCGTCTAACTGGGTATACTTTGAAATGGAATAATGATCAGCGAGGGATTTTACAAAGAACTAGTGATGTAGAGACTCTATGAACCTCAAATTCAAATTAAAATCTGAGCCTACATCCTACCAGAGCACAGGCACACCTAACACACGCATCAGTGCCCATCAGAGAATGCAGAGTGGTTACCATCTGACTCTCTGACCTACAGGCCTGAGAACAATGACTTGCCCCACAAAGAAAAAACAACGAATCTCTGTGCTGAGCAAAAGCAGCCAGACTTGGGCATCTCTGTACTACACGATTGTGATCATTCTATATAAACAACGTTAAGTAAAAAAGAAAAAAAGTACAAAATCAGAAAAACAGATCAATGACTGCAGGTCTTGAGAGACACCTTGAGAATAAGAGAACATTCTGTTATTTAACTATGGTTATTATTACATAACTGAGTGTGTTATAAAGAGTTGATTTCACTACACTGAAGCTGTTGCCCAAATTACACTTCAATAAAAGTGACTTAAAAATAATAACCAACTGTGGGTAGAGCCCTTATGTTCTAGGTGGTTTTATAAGGTATTTGCTTTCTTTCTGCTCATAGAATCGTTATCGCAAACCTGAGTCAGGCGTATTACGCTCTCCACTCAGGAAGCCGAGACTGAGACACAGTAGAGGGAGTTATCCCAAAACTGTGTGACCAGCTCACAACAGAACTGGAATTGAAACACAGTCTGGCAACAGAAATCAAGTCCTACACTACTATAGTGCGCTGACTGTGCGGAGAATCTTAAGAAAATAAAGACAAAAGCAGACTAACTAGTTACAACAGAATGAAGTAATACCACTGGCAAGATGCAGAAAACTTTGAATATGGGGTTGGGGGTGGGTACCAATTGTTGCAGAAGTTGTACTAAGGAGTCCCTCCACTTTAAAAATATCTACTTACATCCACACACGGTACTATTGAGGGTGATTTATTTATTTTCTGACAGTATTTTAAAATAACATTTTATTTTTGTTTATTTCTTTCAAAAAAGCTGGAAAGTGTTGCAACTGAGAAGCTAAGCACCATGCTTATTTTAGAGGCAGTAAACACAGCCTAAGGCCCTACTTAGAATTATGACAGGAGAAAGACTCATTTTGGCTTCATACGGCTTTGAGTAACAAAAATACATCTGCACTCTACCTTCTCTAGAATATGTTGATTTCAGGGAAATAAAGAAGAGGGGGGGAATTAGAGATAATAAAACAGTGTTGGTAAGTAGTGATAGTCTTTAAGAAAAGGGTCTTTGTGCTCCACTCCTCTTGGATCTGACCTTTCCTAGGCCTCCTTTTCCAAGCCTGACAGTTTGATTAGACAGGAATCTGGGGTTGAGCTCTGCTGATGGATGCATCCAAAACATCCTAATGCTCATGAGATCTGCAGATGCTGGACTCAGCACCACTCACTCGACAAATCACTCTAGTGAGAAGTCCCTCAAGCGTTCTACAGAATAGGAGACAGAAGGATAAGGTGGCAATTATAATATTACTTGCAGGGTATTTAAAGCAGAGAAAGGGCTAAAAGGCTAAAAGGCATGGTGGACCCTCTCTCTCTCTCTCTCTTTCTCTCTCTCTCTCTGTGTGTGTGTGTGTGTGTGTGTGTGTGTGTGTGTGTGTCTAGCATTAAGTCAGAACAGTGCTCACCTGGGGATGGGGTTCAATCCCCAATATTACATCAAACAAGTAGGATAGCACATGTCTGTAATTCCAACATTCATTTGCTGGAGGCAAGCGAATCAGTAGTTCAAGGCCATAGCCTGCCATAGAGTTCAAGACCAACATAGTTATACAGGTAGGAAAGAAGGAAAGAAGGGAGAGAGGGAGGGAATGAGGACAGTCACAGAAAGCATCTCATATATCCTGGCCAAG